ACCTATAAGAGACATTTAAGTAGATTTTGGTATCCAAATTGCTTTGGATCCTTGAACATTAGTTTCAATGCCCCTTGTTCACTTATGAACCCATACTTGTCTATTTTTAAAATGTTTTCCTTTCTTTAAAGGACAAGTATGTTCCTTGTGACCATGATAATGACAATGTGAGAATATTGTCATTATTGAACTAAATGAATTATTTAAAATGATTTCTTTTTCTTTTGTTAAACATTCAAGCTTAACTTTTAAATCAAAATTTTCTTTTTTAAAATTTTTAATTTTTATTTTTGAAAGTTCTAAATCATTTTTCAAAATTTCATTTTGGCTTTCAAAATCTATTTTGTTTTCAAAAGAAAATCATTTTCGATTTTAAATTTTGAAATTATTTTCTTATATTTGGAGTTCATGGTCTCAAACTCCGAATATAACCTATTAAAATCATCTTGTAACTCATCAAACGTATATGAATTAAATTCAATTGAGTTAGAAGATACCTCAAGCTCTTCACAAGCCATTAGAGACACCACCTTTATTGGTTCTTCTTTCATGCTTCCATGGATTTCCTCAAGCTTATTCCAAAGCTCTTTGGCACTTGAACATGAAGAAACCCCTTCATAGATTTCAGGACCAAATGCACACAACACCATGTGCATGGCATTGGTATTAAGTTGAGCTTTCTTCCGTTCTTTGTCACTTCGCTTCTTCTCCTTCTTCTTTGGAGAAGAGTATCCGTTCTCGATTATCTCCCATGCATCAAGATCATTGGATTGGATGAATACCTTCATTAATTTCTTCCAATGACGATAGTTGACTCCACTGAAGTATGGAAGCTTGTCCGTTGGTAGGGAGTCTTCCATGTGGAACGAGCCGGAGGTGGAAGCCATCTTCTCTGTTGTGTCGGGAATTGGTAGAGCTTCTTCGAGGATCGTCTCAAGGTGGTTAAACCTTCTTAACAAGTTAGGCTCTGATGCCAATTGTTGGGATTTTTGAAAGCTCGAATTGACAACCGGAATTGCTTGCAAAGAGGGTCTAATTTTTGTGTTTAGGGAGTAAGGAGATTAAAAGATAGAGAATTGCACATCGATTTAGAGTGGTTCGACTTCTCAACCAAGTCTACATCCACTACCTTAGCTCATCACCAAGGATTTTCCAACAAATTCACTAATTTGTTCTTTCTTTTGAGGACAAAGAGTAACCTTACAAATTCCCTAGTTTTTCCGGGCTAAACTAGAACCTTTCCCTAGCTTTTACACGAGATTAGCTAGAACCTTTCCCTTTTACAAAATGATAAAAAAAAAAAACAAGAAAACCTCTCTAAGGTAGGTGTTTACAAGATTGAGCTCACAAGAACAAAATATTTTCAAGAGAAATATGAAATAAGAATGAAAAACTCTTCTCTTGTGTTTGATTACTTGGATAGTTGTTCTTTTTTTTCTTCAAGTGTCCTTAGCTTGTATTTATAGCTTGGAATGTGTTTGATGTTGTATATAGCCGTTGGGGATGTTTTGGAGCCGTTTGGGGATGATTTTTCTACTCAAAAAGGCTGACCATAACATGGTGTATCGGTGCACTATCATGGTGCATCGATACCCCTTCATTAAATTCAAATAAACTAGTTGTTACTAGTCGTTGCAGCCTTCGTGCATGGATGCACAGCAGGATGCATCGATGCACAACCTTGATGCATCGATGCACAGAAGGATGCATCGATGCACTAATTGTATTCAGTGTTTGAGTGCATGGATGCACTGCATGGTGCATCGATGCACTAGTGCAGGTGCATGGATGCACTGCAGGGATGCATGGATGCACTGCAGGGGTGCATGGATGCACTTTGACATTCTTTAGCATTTTGGCTCAAATCTGAATTTAATGGACTTTGAATTATTTTTGAAACCTTTTAAAACTTTGAAAAAATTCAATTAAGTCCAAAAACATTTTGTAAATTCAATTCAAGTCCAAAAACCATTTTGCCTTAAATTGTTATATCAAAACATAGTTCAACAATATATAATTCATTATGATATTCCGATTAATTAATTATGGTTAAACCACATTATTAATACTTATATTTTATGATATTTTGAATTATATTATCATATTCTTATTAATATTTATTTATTTTCAAATATTAAGAAAATGATTGTCTTAAAACAACTAGATGTCATTTTCTGATATTTTTAAATAAATAAATATCCTACTTTTATAAATTATATATATATTAATTTTATTTTATTATTTTTTTGGGAAATGTTTTATTAATATTTATTTATTTTTTAACATTAAGAAATGGGCTGTCTTAAAGCAACTAGATGTCATTTTATGATATTTCTAAGTAAATAAATATCTTATTTATAAAAATCTAAAAAAAATTATATATTTATTAAAAATATAAAAATTAATATATCCCTAAACGTAACCGACCACGAATCCCTTTTTATTACTAAAAATTTATTGGTTATACGCAGACTAGTTTATCTTTTAAATTATGTTTTCTTAAAAACTCTTTTAAAAGATTGTTTTTAGGTATTTGACCTACCTAATCTAAAAAGGTCGATGGCGACTCCCAAAATATTTTTAAAATAAAAATTATTTATTTATTCATTTTACTTCTCCCGCCAAATAAAAATTCGTACCCGGACGAAAAGCGGTTACGACAAGCATGATATGTGACATTATACATTTAATTAATGATATAATATTTTTACCATATTAATCATCCATAATATTATGCCATCACATGTTATATGATTAATTGAATGTATAATTCTACAAATTAAAATTCAAGTAATAAAAATAGATAATATTTTCCAAATAAAAAATATCATATCAGAGCAGACAAAATATGCAAGTACCTTATTGGGAAAAAGAACGTCAAAATTTCATATAAATGGATATATTAAGTCCTACTATACTCAACTTTGTAAATAAAATTTGATCTAATAATTTTAAAATATTTTAAAAAATAATTTATTCAATAGAATAACAAAAATATAAAATAAAATATATGATATTTTTATTCGATTCTTTTTCCATGCTCAACCTTTCCTTTTGAACAGGTTAACCGATTTCAGCGGTATGTTCTCTCTTCCAACGGTTTATATTAACTTGCATTAAGTTTACCGTATTCCGAATATTAAGCCTGTTTTCCTCCGCTTTTTAATCAGGCTGTTAAGTTATATAATACCGGTGCCGGAAATACAGAAAGTGTAGGCGGAGATCGACTGGTTAGAATGTTTAACCATAGAGGTTCATCCCTTATGAAAAACGTTTCAACAACAACCAAATTCATCTCTAGGAAATCTCCCAGAGCCATTGCTCTTTACATATTCTTGCTCTTTGCTTTCTCCATCTTCATTTTCGTCTACAATGCTGGTAACATTGAGGATGATCAATTCAACCCAATATCTCTTCAGGCCTGTGATCCAATCTTTCTTCTGTTTCTGTTAATGGGTAGTCATCTTTGAGGCTTTTCAAAAATGGGTCATTTTCTTTTTAAGAAACAGAAATCTAAGCATTGTTCTTACTGTTAAATGTGTAATTAATTTTCGGAAAATCTTTTTAAGAAAAAGGGAAATTAAATTCAAGGATGAATTGCTTGTATAATTCCTTTTTGAGTTATGCAGATAACTGATGAAGAACTTTGGAACCCTCCTTCTAGCCGTGGCTTACGTCCGTGTGCTCATCCTACGAGCAAATATATACGTAAAAATCTAGAAACATATTACTTCTCCTCTCACTCATGCGCTCACTTAAAACTGTCCCTTTTCTTTTGGATCAGTGCTTACTCTTTTACTCAATGCCTAGTTGTTTAATTGTTTTTCTGTTTGTAATTGATAATTCTGGTTTTCTCTAATTCCATTTAATGCTATGTCAGCTTCACTCGGATCTGACCGATATTTAGTAGTGAACTGTAATGGAGGATTGAATCAAATTCGCACCGCGGTATGTTTTCTTATCTCTCTTTCTTTTCTTTTTTGATTTTGCCTTATCTTTCCGTATATATGTGTCTGATTACATTCAGGGTCACATTATATGATTAATGATTTGATAGAATTCGAAAATTGATTGTGTGCTGAAGATAGTTTTTGCTACTTGATCACAGAATTTTCCAAGCCTTTATGGAGTTTATGCAGTTAATATCCTATCAAAAAAAAGTTTATGCAGTTAATAATTGTGCTCATATGGAAGACATGTTAGCCTTGTACAATGTACTACACTGCTACGTTACTCAGATCTATAAATAAACAACAATCTGATCAATTTCAGTTGAAACCAGTGCAGTTCTTTTTCCAAGGGTTAACCGGTTTTTGTTGTTGATATGGAATGCATAAATTTTAGGTCAGAGCTAACCGTTGGATGCTCAGTACTCTAAGAGTAATATGCATATTAATTTTTTCACTTTAATTTGGTTTTGGATCTATAACTATTGTTGCCGTAAGCTTTTAACAGTCGGTGCATTAAGAAAAAAATTCTCTCGATGTATAACCTATTTGACCGACTTGAACTTGTATTTGATTGAGTGTATTTATTAGCTCTACAACCCATTGTTGTTTGCTTTCAAGTTTCTTGTGTTTGATTGAATGAATTTGTTTGCTCTACAATCCCTTATTGTTTGCTTTCAAGTTTCATGGATGTTACTTTGTCTTGTAGATATCGGACATGGTGGCTGTGGCATACATAATGACTGCAGTCTTAGTTATTCCAAAGCTGGATACACAATCCTTCTCGCATGACTCAATGTATTCTCATTTGTTTCCCTCTCAACTCCATCAAAGTCTTTAATTGTTTTAATCTTATTTAGTTTACTGTAATTACGTAAGGTCTCTTATCTTGATTGGAACAGTACATTTTCTGATATATTTGATGAGCTTCATTTCATCACAACTTTACAACAAGATGTGAGGATTGTTAAGGAGCTTCCAAAGGAACTGGAACATGTTCCTCAGGCTCAAAAGCACTTTACTTCCTGGTCTAATGTGGGTTACTTCAAAGAAATGGCGCACTTGTGGAACAAGTATCAGGTATATACTCGTTGGCATTATTTTTTTTGGGTGTGGCCTGTTTTAGATACCCTCCTAGATGTGATTGATCTGCAGTGATGATGGTGTGCAATCTGTCTAACTTTTTTCAGAATATGGTTCATTGTTATGTTTTGTTTAATGCAGTTGATACCAAGTCGAAAAGAATGCATTCTATTTACTGAAATAATTTCTAGGTAGCTTAATTTCAAGGCAAAATTATTCAAATACTCTCATACAAGTCTTGACAATTGGATAGATAGCTTGCCTAAGTGCTATCCAAGCATCAAATTTTAACCCCCCACCCCCCTTTTAATTATGGTAAGTCTTAATTCCAAGGATGCTGAACAAGAAACATTTGCAGGTTATCAATGTTGTTGAATCAGATTCTATACTCGCAAACAACAATCTTCCTCTTGATGTGCAGAGGTTGAGATGTCGTGCTATGTACCATGCTCTCCGCTTCCCTCCCTTCATCGAGAGCTTAGGAAAGGTGAATTGATACTCTTTGATGTTTAAGCCCCTGTTAATTTACTTCCATGCACAGGAAGTAAAAGGCATAAGCTTTTGAAAGGCAGCAAGAATTTAAGATCCTATAAAAAAATTCACCCTGCAATGCTACAATATAATATGCACAACAAACAGCATTCATGTTTGATTTTATTATTGAATGATTTAAGATATCTCTTATGGGACTTCCTTTTTAAATTATGTTCTGAGTATGCATGATGGTGGCACCACAGGAACTGGTAGATCATCTAAGAACACAGAGTGGAAAATACATTGCAGTTCACTTAAGCTATGAAAAAGACATGCTTGCTTTTACTGGTTGTACTTCTGGTTTGACTGATGCAGAATCTGAAGAGCTGAGAATAATGAGGTGGGAACGTTTCGCATGTGCTCATGCATTTACTTTAAATCTTAACAGGAATCCTTTTCTTTAACAATTTGTCTTACTGAAAACAGGACGTTTAACCATGTAACCCTTATGAATAAACTAACTTGATAATAGTCTCAATATACAGACTTCAAAATTTTGTATTAAATTCGTTTAAATTATGGAAAATGTTATGTAGTTTCACCTTATCCTTGATATGCTTCGAATTATGTTTGTTAGTTAAAATTACTAGAAAATGGGGAAGAATGTGACTAAATTGACCAATTTGAGGACAAAATAAGTGATATTTTTGGTGCTTAGGTTTTTTTTTAGCTTATACTGATTTCTCTAAATATCTTTCCAGGGAGAACACAAAAGATTGGAAGGTTAAAGATATAAACCCTACTGAACAGAGAAAAGGTGGCTTTTGTCCACTAAACCCCAAAGAAGTGGGAATATTTCTTCGAGCTATTGGTTATCCTCCATCAACACTAATTTATGTTGCATTTGGTGAAATTTATGGTGGTGATGCTCGCCTTTCCGAGCTCAAGTCGTATTTCCCAAATGTAGTTTCCAAGGTTTGCTATTGTTATTTTCCGTTGTTATAAATAGTTCGATATGCATAATTTGCCATGAGGATGTGGTGCCTTCATGACTGTGCTTTTGTTGATGACAGGAGAAACTGGCAACAAAGGAACAGTTGAATGCAGTTTCTAAGCATGCAACTCAAACTGCTGCACTAGATTACATTGTTCCTTTGGAAAGCGATGTGTTTGTTCCATCATCTTCAGATAACATGGCACGAACTATTGAGGGGCACCGCAGATTCTTTGTCCATCGGAAGACAATCTCCCCAGACAGGTAACAGATGGTGAAAATATCATTTGGTTTCTTTTAGGAACAGGTTTTCTATAAGGAAATGAGCCATTAATATCCTCTACATGTTTTGATTTCATGTAGTATTCCCAGAAAACCATTTTATGCCATGAATGCGACATGCAATTCAGTCATCCAATTTGTTTTCCTGACCCTGTGGATGAAGTTTATGGACTTTGTTTTTGGTTCCACTAACAAAATATTTTATTGGAAAATACGTAGTATGGCCTTGTCTTGTTAGTTTGTTTGTCTAGTTCTCGTAAAACAGGGTGATATCAACTTTAATGATGGTTTTGTAACTTCTATCCTAGAAATACTTTGTAGTGTTGAATGACACCCTATAAGTACATTTTTTTTTAAAAAAATTCCTCGAAAGAACTATCATTCTTATTAAAGCAATTTACACTCTTGTCTCAAATGTGTTAATATTTGATACAGGAAAGGACTTGCCAAGCTTTTCTATGAGTTGGAAAGAGGAAAACTAAAAATATCCTCATTCGCTGAACGTGTGCGGCAGATGCACAAAAACAGGTTATCTGTTTTCCATGAATAGACCCATTCTACTATTCCTCTGTGACGGACCTACACAACTAGGCTGTGGAAATGTAAAAATTAAGTACCAAAAGATGCATAATTAAATATCGAAGGTATCTTATTGCAATGTTCAATCGAATGACATTTTTTTAATGAATTTCAACATTATTTGTAATTATATTGTAGGAGAGGATCTCCAAGAAAAAGAAAAGGTGCTGCACCAGGAATGAAAGGAGAAGAACGCTTCAAGACTGAAGAATTCTTCTATGACAATCCATACCATGAGTGTATATGTAGTCCAAAGGGTGTATAAGATAGTTGTGACCTGGTTTGGCTTGCCATCCGAGTTGCCTGAATGAAAGGATCCCCATTGTGTGAACATGGTATGTTAAACCAAGACGGAAGGTGCCCCAGAAATGAGCTCGAGCAATGAACACCTTTCTTCTTTTTGATGGACCCTAAGTTCTAAATACATAATCAGAGTTACATCGCATGTTGCCAGGTAATTGAATTTCTTGAACACCCCCTTCTTATAGGATCTGCGTTCCGCTTGCAGGGAAAGCTTGTAGTACCTAGTTTTTTGTAAGACAATTCTCATTTAGTCCCTGAATTTCATTTCATATAAATTCATTTTTTCTCGTTTGTTCTCAGTTTCAATTTCATGATAGTTTTCATGTATGATGAGAACACAGATAAGTGGCAACCATGATTTTGATACTCCACTATACTTTCTGCTTATAGCATTTTTTTCGTCTTGTCTGCTTTCTTTTTGACATGCAAAAACATATTGGTCGCATCAGTATCGAACGGTGTCAATACTCCTGGTACAACCATGGACAAGTGACTACTTGCATACGAACCATCCACTAGTACAAATCTTAAAAAATATAAAAAATGATGAAAGCTATGTGAAATATAAATGGATAATTGATCAAATCATTTCAAACAAATAGGCTTTGAAATTCAACTTCCAGTTTCCTATTTTATCCAGACACTAATAAGGCTAAAGCCACTCTTCATATTGGTTACAAGGAAATTACCAACTAGAGAAAGTGTTCATTGTCATTTTGATGATGGCACTTCACTGAATTATACAACCTATCTTCCATGGAGGTCTCCGAGATCTTTTAGGATGATTGAAATTTATTTGATGAAGCTTCTTTTAGGATGATTGAAATTTATTTGATGAAGCTTCCCGTTTTAAACGACACCGTTCTCGCTGAAACAAACCAATTAAAAAAGCCACAAGCCTTAGGTAGAAACCATGTGAACGAGGAAAAAATCAGACATCTATACATATTTGATGACACCTTACGTCCATCATGCATCAACAAACCAAGATAGAAAACGGGAGCAAATTTGAATAAAATGAAAACCAAGAAGATTTCGATAGATAACTCGTGCCAAAACAAGAAACAAAAGCATATGGCTCTTCAGTTGATCAGAATCACTCTCACTAAGTATAGAGATGCATAAGGGTATACATCCACATATATTATCAAATGGCTACACATGATCAGTTACATCCTATATCTGCAAACATCCTCAAGAGACCAATATTACTGTGTTGAAGTAAAAGCATCTTCAACCAAAAGGGAAAGATAAACAGCAATAATTTCCCATTTAGTTTGTCATCCCAATCCTCAGAGGACGAGTCAACAGAAACATGTTATTGATAGATAATTGTTACTTGGAGTAGCATTTTATAATCTGCAGTATGGCTGAATATCTGCAAAGATGACCGTTGACTAGTATGGATTACCACTTGAGCAGTTCAATTCAATGATGCATTGAGTTATTTTTCATTCAAGCATCAGTAATGGATCAACTATAAAACAGTAGAAGATTGTTTTAACAGAACACGAACTACAAATAAACTACTAGTTATCTAATGCGTATATCACTTTAAAGAGAAGTTCAAACATGTTGTTTAAGTAGCAAATTTTCAGTTAGTTATGCATACAGGATTGGGCGTATAGGGCATACATATGCATTTGAGACCAAATCCAAAATCCAAGTAACAACACTTTAAAAATGACTAAAGCAGTAGAGTCCAGTATGATTTTCAGTGATGAAGAAAATGACTTCAAATTGATAGTAAACATAGAACAATCCTACATTATTTCTATCTCATTAAGATTTCCATAACAGTCGCATGAACCAAGATTGATAATAGCAAGGAAATGAGAGACAAAATATATGGGAAAGGAACAATTTTTTAACCCATTTGAGCAACAATACTTGGGTATCAACAAATGCTACTATCATTTAAGCAAAGATTTCGTTCAAATTTTTTAAAACAAGAAACTCCAAACAATGGACAGTCAAAAAAACAAACACTTAAAAAACTTGAAATATTCATTCCTATACCATAATTATACATATCGATAAAACAGTGTTTAGGGCAAGTAAATAAGCAAAGGAAAGAGTAATGAGAAACAAACCCGTCTCTCCCAGTAAGGAAGGAAGCAGACAAAATCGTAGACAGGAGTAATGGTTGAGACCAGCACAGCGTTGAGGCCAGTGAACACTAATAGAGCTGTCAATGGACGTGTTCTGTGAGGCATCTTTGATTTATCCTCTGCGAAACATAAAGTTAATAATTTTATTCATCAGTGATAAGAGTTGATCAATTTCCAAAATACCCAAAGAAGAAAAACACAAGATAAGTAGACAAGGATAGGGTGTCGGATCATTAAGTTGCCTGTTAATCCATTCCAAATTGCAATTGGAAAAAAATATACAGAGAGAAAATGAGATGAAAGTTTGGGATTTTAAAGGATGAGAAGAAGATTAGAGTAGCATCGGGTTTTGCATTTTGGTGGTTACCAAGTCGATGGAGCATTATTTCTTTTTGGTCCAATAGGTGCTTCAATCATATGCATGTTCAGCATTGATTTTTGGATACCCATAAGTGGCCAAAACAACTCTTTACCACTATTTTTTTCCAGCATCGGAGGCTTCTTTTAATGTTAACTTACAGGGATCAAGATAGCAATTAACTTACAGCTAGTGGAAATATTCAAGTTAAGTTTAGGGTTTCAAGAATTACCTTATTTAATTTCCCGGTCTGTCAGAAGCTTGAAGGAAAGAGAAGGCTTGGGTCAAGGGCTGGATGAGAAGATGAAGAAGGATAAGTACAAGAGAAAGACGATGCTGGTGGGAGGGCTTTTCGGCAGCGGGGATGCGTAAAGAGTTCGTACCAAAGAGGCATTTGCAAAACTTACTAAATTTTAATTTATCATATTTAATTCATACAATAGGATATAAGATAATATTTCTATTTAATTTAGGCTTAAAAGTTATATTATTTTTTACGAATAAATGTTTAAAGTATTTTTTGACTCATTTAAATGTATAAAGTTATAAATATTATCAATTTAAATATCTGGATCGTCAACCTTTTAAATAACACGTGTCATAATATATTAATTATAAAAAATTTATTTAAAATTAAAAAATTAAAATTATATATTAAAATAACATAAATTTTTTGAAATAATCCCAAAACTTTAAAAACTTTCATTTCAACCCCTAAACCACGTTGGTTGTCTTCCTTTACCGTCAACGAAGCTCCACCCGACCTCCCCTGGCGATCAAAACCCTATGAAATCGTAACCGATCGACGCTTTATACCCTACAAAACCTACGATGAAAATTGTAATCACACGTAATTTTGATGACTAATCAACGACAACTGCGGTGACGTATGACTAGGAGGATGGTAGGGACGTCGCTGATGGTGGTTGTGACTGAAAAGGACATCGACATCGGGTTAAGGTTGGGATTTGAGGATTTTGGGACTTTTTTATAATTTAAGAGCAATTAGTGTTTTTATAAATATAATAATATTTTTAATATTTTTTTAAAATAAATTTCAAAATCACTAGATTGTGACACCTGTTATTTAATAAAAAAATTTAACGTCATTGACAACCTAAACACCTAAAATAATAACGTTTGTAATATTAAGCACCGAGATGAATCAAAAATTACTTTAGGCATTTAAGCTTTTAATTTATCATATTTTTATATCATTCATATTTTAAATTTATTATTATTTATTTATATATCACATGAAAAATTAATCAAAACCTCACATCTTTTAAAAAATCAATGTTACACTTATTTTTTTTTTCTTATCTATTACGATACCGTTTACATATAAATTATCATTTTAGTACTATATATTAACACATCAACCCGATAAATTATCACGTTAATATAAAAACAACCACGTTAACATAATAAGGATTAAAATTAATAAAAGAGTTAAATTGATATATCCCATAAGTTCAAGAATCAAACAAAGTATATATTTCATGAAGAGTTAAATTAATTATTTAATGCAAATTGAAGAATAATGTTATCTTTATCTTAAAATTCTATATTTATACGAACTCATTAAGTTATCTTAATGGTTAAATAGATAATTGTTCTTCCTTGAGATCTTGAATTCAAATACTTGTGTCTACAAACTGTGTATACTATCAATAGTTAAGAAAGATAATTAACATATATTATTTTATAATTACTTCAGACTAATAAAAAATCGTAAAAGGGTAATTGAGACCCATGTACTTGTTCAAAAAAACAAATGTGGACTTCAATATTTTTTTGCACTCAATGTGGCTCTCAAACTTATAAAAAGAACCCAATGTGAACCTTTAATCAACGATTTCTGTCGTTGACAGTTACGATAATGTGACACTTCACGATGATAATGTGATGATCCATAGTGTTGAAGTGGTAGTCCACAATGACTAGTAACATGGTAGATGTGTTAAAAAAAATTCAAGTTTGAAAATCAAATTGATTTTTTTAAAGTTTATGGGTTTATTTGATTTTTTTTTTAAAAATAAACACATTTTAAATTCAAAATACAAAAAACTCAAAAACTTAAATTTAATAATACCAAAAATAAAAATTAAATTATTCAAAATTTAAAAATATATATTATTAATTTTTTATCTCGAATTTAACTTTGAATTTTATTTATATAAATATAAATTCACTTTTCATGCATAAATTTTATTTTATATATTTGCATCTAATTATCTTAAATTCTATTTCACTACATTTTTATAAAAATAAATTAAATAAATATTATAAAGTCTTATAAAAAATAAAAAAATATGAAATTAAAATTTGTTTATAAATTATCATGAAAATATATAATTAAAAATAAAAAATAATTATCCAATTAAGATGAACATTTTTAATGAATATAACATGATTTAGGGAAGTAAACTTCACCTAAACTTGATCTTATGAAAAAAGTGAGAATATCGACTTGTCCCTCCAATTTCTATTAGATACAACTCTATATAGTCAAGATAAATATGAACTTCACATGTTTGAGATTTTTTTGGTCACTCTAATATTTATTTTTCTTTAAAAAATCGAGAAATAGTAAATATGTCTCAACAAGATAAAATTAAAATAAAATTCACATTAGAATTTAGAGGTGAATTCTTATATGTGTTTTATTTTATTTTTTTAATTTTTTTAGTAATTTAATTTTTATTTTTGGTATTATTTTATTTAAGTTTTTGAGTATTTTTATATTTTGAATTTAAATATTTTTATTTTTTTTAAGAAAATCAAATAAGTCCTTAAATTTAAAAAAAAAACAATTTGGTTCTGAAACTTGAAAAAAAAACTAATTTAACTTATCTGTCACATCATCCGCCAAAGTCACCAGCCACTATGGATTATCAAGTCAACGCTATGGATCGTCACATCAGCACCGTGAAGTATCATGTCATCATCGTAACGATCAACAACAAAAATCGTTGGTCAAAAGAGGCATATTGGAACATTGAGTGCAAAAAAATACCAAGAGTCATATCGGTTTTTTTAGACAAGTACAGAGACCTCAAGTCCCATTTTGCCTAAAAAATATGCATTTATATATTTTTACATGTATAAATAAATTATATTTTATTGAAAACCAAAAATTAATATACATATATAAAAAAATATTTTAATTTCTACTCTTTTAATAAAACTATATTAATTTATAATTTACATGCAAATATAAAAATTTAAAATTATTAATTAATTAAAAATAGACCCGGTTAGTAAAAGAACTTTTTTGATACATTTTTGGATGAAAAGCCAATTTGATTTTTATGGAAGAAAAGAGGGACTGCTTTATCCCTTAAGCCAAAAATAAAATTAACTCGAAACAAAATACATCCAAAGCAAACAACTCTGCCATATGAGTTTCTAACGAACAAACCTCACACTGAAGAAAATGTGATGAATAATGTCATATGATACAATCAAGCATCCTTTACTTGCCGAGGAACACTATGCATGTAAAGGGAGAAATTACAACAGGGAATGAACCCTGATGAAACCACGAACTTTACTTATAGCCTGCATGCATTGCCATCCATCATTTTATTCCTAAAATGCATCATCTTTAAACAGGAATGTGGCATGTACAAAATCATATTATCCATGGCAAACTGGTGCAAGTTTTGATGTATCTGATGTTTCAACCTGTAAACACCTACTTTCAGAGCTACCTCTTACCTTGATGTTCTTGTCCATGTTCGAATCACTCAGTACAGTATTCGATGTCTGAGTTGCTCCTAGTAATTAAACCACCAAGAGCCAGAAGAAATGAAGAAAGCTCTGATATGGAAGAGCTTGCCTGCTAGCTTCTTATGTTCATATACGCCGATACAATTACAAATTCCTCGAACTAATGTAAGACGGGCCACAAATGGCTATGAACCATCCTTTGCCCTCTTAAAAAGAATTATATCTTGTAGAAAAACTTTAAAGCCATCGCATAGCGAACCATCCTTGTATAACACGAGTATCTTTTTCATATGAATATCCTCACTAGTCTGATTTTAGCAGACATGCAACAATAGGGCAACAAATCTAATTTGAATTCACAATATTCCATTCAAAACCCTTTGATAATAATCATACTGCCGCGTCTTCCATGCATATAAACTGCTGCTGATCGGGGAAAGCACCAACGACACTCATTGCTGCAAGAAATCAACAGATAACCACCATCAAAGATTAAATGCAGGGCGGTATTAAAACTGGATACAAAGCTTAAGACAACAAACCTCTTCTGTCAGGCTTAAGTGGAACCGTTTTCTCAAGTTCTGTATTGCTCGTGGGCCACCTTTGAAGCATGGATAACCAGAATCCTAACACAAAAGATGAAAAGATATTGAGCATATATGTTCTTTCTCCATCCTTAAATATTACTAATATATCTTGATAGGCAGCTCAACCTTTTTCTTTTTTCTAACTATATATATTGTGTGTTAGTCAGCGAGATACAATCAGGGTCAGTGAATTGTATGTGACTATCAGCCTCAAAGAAGTACAGACTGTCCTTACCCCATTCTCTAATTATCATGATTTATAAGTAGTTTCTACAAGAACATTGGTGATGGGCATAAGCAAGTTAACCAGGGGCCACTTTTGGAAAACTTCAAAGCTCAGTAAGAGAACTACCAGAACTAGGTCTCATCATGTGTTATGATTATGTACAAAAATATGGTATGACCAGAAATAAACTATAGCATGTTACCTGCAACATTTCAACAAGAAGAATTATGCGCTCTGCATGCTTACGGCAGGTTAGTAAGCCTTGGATGCATAATACCTGAATTTAAGGGGTAAATATATCAGCATCGATTTAGCACAAGCATATTTGCTAATTAAAAGCTGGAGTTTCATTTAGTACATACCAACTTGGTTTAAGATTTATGAAATAAGAAAGATTATAGTATTAAATAAAGCTTTGGTTTAGTAAGCATTGATATGTCTTTATCATTCACTTCATGTTTTAATAACATTTATTTTCAGTAAGCAAGCAACTTCCAACAATTTCTGCTAATTTGCTATACCTTGGTGTCCATGACACCCGTCACAAACTTGTGTAAGAGAGTGAACAAACCACACAGGCCTTAAACAGAGAAAGTAAGGGCTTAAATACCTTAAAGTAGTCAAAAAATTCAGTTGGAACTCCCTCGGCATCAGAATCCATGACCTAGCACAGCCAACAATAAAGCATTAAGAGCAAATCGAAGTAACTGATAGAATTGTGTTGGACAAACAAAAATTGAGCTATAAAATAGAACCTCATGCTCAGAAGATTTAACTCAAGAAATTCACGGGTTAATTTGAATGGTGCACTCTCAAAAATTCACACCACCAGGT